CCCACGGGGCACCTGGGGACACAGCAGCGTGATGGTGGCATCGTGGCAGCGGAGGCACCGAGCCCGCCATCTTGCTACCAGTGGTCACCTGCACTCCTCGACATCCCCAGCAGGCCCCAGGCCGGTGTCACCGGAGCCGGTGACGTCCATGGCCACGTCGCTGAGCCCCACGCTGGCCATGCGCCCATCGTAGACTGCCCGGATGAAGATGCCCTCCAGCCCCTGCAGAACCAGCAGCAGCAGCTCCCGGCTCACCGGGGCACCCTCCTCATCCTCCCAGTGGTCCTGCCAGGATAGAGATATTGGTGTCACCCCAGGGTGATGCCAACAGTGGCATTACCCACCTGCCACCACTGGCATCACCCGCCCGCCACCACTGGCAGTGGGCTCAGGGGGTCCCCGCCCCAGCCGGTACCGCACCCCATAGCTCAGCGCTCCCCCGTAGGCATCCACCTGGCAGCATCAGTGGGCTGTCAGCGGCTATGCCACCGCTGTCCCCAGCCCTGTCCCCGCCCCGGGTGTCACCTTGTCCCCAAGGAAGGCATCTGGGAGTGCCCAGAAGGCATCGAGAGCCAGGAAGCGTCGGGACAGATCCAGGAGCTGGAATTCCTCAGCACCCACGTCCACGTGGAGCTGGGTGGCCGAGAGCACCGGCGAGGACGGCGCGGCCGGCACCGTCACGTTGACACCTGTGAGGAGATGCTCAGCCCCTGGTGTGTCCCTTTCCCCCTCCAGCCTGTCCTTAGTCCCCACGTCTCACCCTTGAAGTCGTCGGGGCGGTCGAAGCGGAGGTGGAGGCGGTGGCGGGGCGGTGGCACGGCAGGTGGTGGTGACACCGAAGCAGAAGCAGGGCAGGCAGCGGGATGTCCCCGTCACCTGGAAGTGGCCCTCGGGGCATGGCCCTATGGGAGACAGGTGGGTGACGGTGATGCCGCCATGGTGGGGGGCAGTGGGATGGGGAGGAGAGGGAATGCTCACCGGGGCGGGTGACAGTGAGGATGCTGTCGGGGATGCCGAAGACCATGCCCAGGGTGTTGATGGCCTCACAGGTGTAGGCGCCTTGGTCGGCTTCTTTCACGTCCCGGATGGTCAGCGTGCCCTGCCCGGCCTCACTCACGATCGACACCCTGCGCGGCACACTTGGCACCCGGCGACCGGCACACCCAGTGCCCAGTACACCCGGTGCCCAGCACACCCAGCACACCCAGTGCCCAGCACACCCGGTACACCCG